ACAAACCATATTGAAACCATTGCGTACAACTTTCTCACTGAGCCAGTGCCTCCTGTTCTACAGGGTCCCTATAATTATGGTGGTCAGCATAACTGTAGCTGCCCTCATAGCGGTGGTGGTTGCTACATCTACAGGGTTCCTGTAGCTCTGGGACCTGATGTGGCAGGTGCTCACTGTTGCTACAGTGGCTATCGTTAGATCAGAGGTTCCTAGAGCTATAGCAGTCTGTACCACTATTTATATGCCTAGATGTCTGTGCTGAAAGCAAGTTGCAGCATGAAGTACACTGTACAGGGAAATTTCTGGTGTGACAGAAGAGTACCATAGTCCCTTTGCTATATAATTATGAGCTCAGAAGGCAGGTGGGATAAAATGTACTGTATTAGAAAATGAAGATCTTGCAATGACTTGTGAAATAGTCTCTTGGAGAGAAATAGATCATATGGGGCTTACATATTTACAAGTTTTCTAGAATTCTTTAAAAAAAAGTGTACATATGTAAAAAAATTATGTAAAAAAGTTGTTTGTTGTTGTGCCATCTAGGGAGAAGGGCCAATAATACTTTGGAATATAAACTGGAAGTTCTTTTTCTATGCACAAATATATATTTGTAAAGAAGTGTGTCTGTGATCATTGTATTCTTTTACCACCAGTTTTTATTCAACCATGCTCTATTGTTGAAATGTGTTCTATAATACCCTCTCAGTGACAACATAATATTATGTTATACCATCATGTCTTTAACCAGCTACCTGTTTTTGTACAGAGAGGTTCCCCCAGCTTTTGCTACTGTACACAGACAGTGTCAAGATGAGCATTGTCATGCTGAATATGCAAAAGCACAGTTGTTTCTGTCAGTTAAATTCCTAACAGTCAAATTGCTAGGTCATAGAAGGTATCCGTTTTTAAAGATGAGACTTTGCATTAAGGTTGTACCATCTTGCATTTCAACCATGAGGAAGCAAGTAGATACCTTTTTTCTTAGACCTTTGCCTCCATCAACATCACGGTTTTGTAATCTCTGTAAAATCATTCAGAGCAAAACACTGTCCTGTTCAAATTTGCATTTTTTTAATTCAAAAGAAGTGAAACTTTTTATATGTCTTATTGGACAATATATTTTGTGAATTGCCTGTCCATATCTTGGCCCAATTTTCTCATAGGTTGGTAAGGGTTCATTTTACATTATGGATTAGGAAGCCATTTTGCATATATTCTAAAAAGATTTCATTTATTCACTCAAATAACTTTGCATTTTTTCTACTTTTTAGCTTTTATGAATGTTGCTGTTATGAATATTGGCATACAAGTTTTTATGTGGACGTATGTCTTGAATATATATCTGCCTTGGTCTGTTTTCTGTTGGTGTGACTGATGATCACAGACTGGGTAATTTGTTTTTTTGTTTGTTTGTTTTGGGTAATTTGTTAAGAATAGAGGTTTATCAAAGACTGATTGTTCTCTCTGATATGTGGATGCTAAACCACAAAAAAGAAGGGTAGGGAAGAGAAGAATAGAATCCATTGGATTAGACAATGGGTAGGGAGGGGAGAGGGGAATAGGAAGAACAACAGAATTAAATGGACATAACTTTCCTAGCCTTGTATTTGAATACACAACCATGGTAACTCTACATCATGAACAACCACAAGAACAGGATTGTAATTAGAATAAGTTGTCCTCCATGTATGCGTAATATGCCAAAATACATTCTACTGTCATACATACATAAGTAAAAATAACAAAAAAGAATCGAGGTTTATTTAGTACCAAGTTCTGGAGGCTGGGAAGTCTAACGGCATGATGCTGACATATGCTCATCATCTGATGAGGGCTTTCTTGCTGGATCATGACATGGCTGAAGCCTTCATGTGGCAGGACAGAATGAACATGGTAGCCTTGGTCTCTATTCCTCTTTTTTAAAAAATTTTTGTTCTTTTAGTTATACATGACAGTGGAGTGTATTTTGACATATTGTATATACATGGAATGGGTAATTAATAAAGGAAAGATGTTTATTTACCTTACAGTTCTGGAGGCTGGAACTGCCCATTCTTGGGCTTGTACATGATGTGGAGATTCACTGATCATGTATTCATATATGATCATAGGACAGTTGTGTCCAGTGCATTTTACTGTCTTTCCCATTCCCATCCCACCCTCTTCCCTTTCTTCCCCTTTGTCTAATCCACTGAACCTACATCCTCCCTCCCTTGCCTTCTTTTAATCAGTCCACTAATGCCATCATGGGGACCCACCCTCCTGACCTCATCTAACCTTGATTACCCCCCTGAATATCCCACCTCCAAATACCATTGACATATGACTTTGGGGATTAAGTTTCCAGTACATGGATTCCTGGGGGTACTTTCAAATGGTTTAACAGTTGTCCTTACTAATGTATAAGAGAATTTCAGTTTTCCTCACCATTTTCTTTCTCCTTTCTTCCTTTTTGTGGCATTTCATTATGATTTTGGGGTGCCTTTCCTGAGTTACATGGACTGATTTTTCAGGTGCTTATTGGCTATTTGTGTGTCTTTTTGGCCATCAAATCCTTTGCCTATTTTTATTTTTTATATTTTATTAAATATTTTTTATTTGTAGATGGACACAATACCTTTATTTCATTTGTTTTTATTTATTTTATGTGGTGCTGAGAATCAAACCCAGTGCCTCATACATGCAAGGCAAGCACTCTACCACTGAGCCACAACCCCGGCCCCAGCCTTTGCCTATTTTTAAATTGAATTATTGGTCTTATTATTGAGTTGTTAGGAATTCTTTATATATCCTCAATACAAGTCTCTTATCAGTTATATAATTTACCAATATTTTCTCCCATTCTATGAGCCATCTTTCACTTTCTTGATGATGTCCTTTGAAACACAAATTGTTTTTAATTTTTATAAAATTCAGTTTATTTTTCCTTTTGTTGCTTATTCTCTTAATACTAAAGTTTTTACATGTGGTACACTATTTCCCATTTTGTGTTTCCTGCTTTATGATAATGTTTGAAAGTCATTCCTTACCCCTAAGATAATATAAATGTTGTCCTAAAATTTCTTTTAGTGCTTTTATGGCTTCATCCATTTTATTTTTATTGGGAACTCATTTTCTTGGATGGTACTGAGATGTATCACTTTATTTTATGCCGGTGGTTTTTTTTGCTTGTCCCAAGACCATCTTTTGAGCAGAGTGCATTGTGTAGAGGAGCTGGATTCAGCTTGAGCTCAGGTAAAGTAACCAGAGCTCAGTGGCCAAAGAGCTATCAAAGCCAGGACCTTGGCGTGGCTAACTCCAGTAACAAGGTTCATGCAACTCAACTGGACAGGATTTGGGGTGATGAGTTCTATTTTTCCTCTAGCCTCACAGGATGAGATCCCTTTTTTGGAGAAGAAAGAATTACAGTTTTGGTTATCATCTTAAGTCAGTGTTTCCTATAATCACAGCTAGATAATCAGGAGCCTAAGTGTTTGGATCTGTTGGCCAGTCTCTCTGTACACCCCTGGGGGGAGATGAGGAAGTGAGCAGGCTTGGGACTACACTCAGCTTCATTCTCTCTTTATGTAAAAGAATTACCTAGAGCTGGGCGCAGTGGCAGGATCCTGTAGTCCCAGCAGCTCAGGAGGCTGAGGCAGGAGGATTATAAGTTCAAAGCCAGACTCAGCAAAAGCAAGGCACTAAGCAACTCAGTGAGACGCTGTCTCTAAATAAAATTCAAAACAGGGATGGGATGTTGCTCAGTGGTCAAGTACCCCTGAGTTCAATCCCTGGTACACACCCCCTACCTCAAAAAATAATTACTAAGAGGGTTCAAAACCTGGAAATCTAGTCACTTGAATGTGTCAACAGAGGGAGCCTATGTGGATATCTGCCTTTATCCTTGGCAATAGCCACCTCTAGAACAGTAGAGGGGACCAATGACAGGCCAGCATTGTAGTTCTGCAAGCACTCACTGGTGACCTTGTTGCCACTCACACATTAGTGTATATGGCAACTCCTACGCTTCTTCCCACTCTGCTTTCTCCAACAATAGCAAGTGTGTTTGTTAGAAATGCTGTGTTATTTGTTTTGTGCATAGTCAATCTGAGATCTTTATAAGATGCATCTGATTCCATGATTCAGTCCTCGGTGGGAGAATAACAAATCTCATTTTCTCCTGCCCTTTGACTCTTTTTTTCAAAAATAGATTTTATTTTTTGGAGCATCTTTAGATTCACAGCAAAATGAGTGCAAAGTACAGGGAGTTCCCATATAGCCACTGTCCCTCATCCCCCCCCACAATCATTGCCCCCCCCACCATGGTACACTTTTTACATTCCATTATCCTACACCTCCCAAGACTCTTTGATTAGTAAAGAAAATATCAGAACCCATAGCCTCCAACACCACAGGTTGGATTCCCCTAAGAACTCTGGGCCCAGAAAAAATCATCTCCTTCCATCAATGAGCATTTGGTCTTAAAAGGAGGAGGGTGACAAGAAGTACAAACTCAGGGCTAATTAATGTCCTGAATTAGTACCAATTGCTTGTCAGGGAGTGTTGTGTGTGTGTGTGTGTGTGTGTGTGTGTGTGTAGAGCTCTGTGGAGTTGTATCACAGGTGTTGACTGGTGTTATTATTACTATGGTGGAGATGAATAGTTCTGTCATCACAAGGATTCTCCGTGTCACCCACTTAGAAACACAGCCAAATCCCTCCCCCTCTGTCCTCAACCCCTGTCAACATTCCTATGGGGGACACATGGTGTTGTCATTCAGTCAGGCCTGGCCTGTACTCAACCTCTGCTGCCTGCCAGCCTCTGCTCCCTCCCTTGTAGGTGGGGTGCTAAATGCAGCTGCCCCATTGGATAGCAGAGAGAAAAACTAGGGAGCTAACTGAATGATGAGCAATTCTACCCTGAAGCCTGGGCTTTGCAGGTGACGAGCATAAAGAAACAGGCCCTGCCATCCACATTGCCGCAGGTTCACAGCAGACACTAAGTGTTTTTGTCCTTTCCAGGTGATGGTGGCTATGGCAGCAGTGATGACCCTGGATCTGGTGAGTATCTGTACCCTAAGGTTTCATTGGAAGCCATAAGGAAAATAGTGCTGTCCCACGCTGGTCTCAGGGTGTACCCTGCCCTTCCCCTAAATGTTTTCAGCAGAGAGCCATAAGGCAAATAGCAGAGGGGCGCAGTCTTTAAAAGGAACTAGCATGAAGATCTGGGTCCCAGGGGAGGTGGTCCAATGAGGGGGTCTGTTGACCCAAGACCCAGAGCTGTGGTTGGGCCTTAGTAAGAGCGGGCACAGTACCATTTCCATGTCTACATTTCAAGTTCCTCAAAATGCAAGTCTTTATACAAGACCAAAAGTATTTGGCAAATCCAAGGAGTACTGTGTCACTGTCATGCCCTGGACATCCATGGCTTAGCCTTCTTGCATGGACATGGGGGTTATGGCATCTGGACCAGCTTAGTTCGGGGTAAGTAGAGAAGCCCACTCCTGAGCTAAGCTCCAAGGTGCTCTGCAAAAGCTCTCCCTGTTCTTTTGTGCCCAGGCATGTCAGCTGAGACTGGCACCATCGCTGGAGTAGCCAGTGCCCTGGCCATGGCCCTGATTGGTGCTGTGTCCAGCTACATCTCCTACCAGCAGAAGAAGTTTTGCTTCAGCATTCAGCGTAAGTGCACCTGAACAGTGAAGGGGTCAGTGTAGACACATCCCTCCCACATCTGGCCCCACACTAGCTTCTAAGTGTACTGCCTGGGCCATGGTGTGGGGTACCCTTTTAAAATCCACAGGGACAAAGTGAGGTCCAACTGAAGTGTACATCAGTCTGTGACAACAGATGGGAGTTTTCCAGGTGACCTTGACATTCCAGGGGCCCCAGTACTCGGAGGCTATATGGAGACAGAGCTCAGTGACCATTGTGGCATTTCCTTCCCTAGAATGGAAGGGGCCCTGGGATATCCTTATGGCCTCTGATCACATTCAAGGGGATGTGGGGCTACCAGAGGCTCTAGGTCAACAGCTCCCTCTCCTGCTGACCAGAAGGCCATACTTTCTTGGGGATTTTAAACATAGCAGCAAATGCCATTGGGCAAGCCAGGGCTCTTATGGTTCTGAAAACATCCCCTTTCTGATCCTAAAAGGTTGCTATGGGGCCACACCCACTCCTGCCCTCACATCTTTTGCTGCTATGACTAACAGACCTGACCAGAACAACTGTTGAGAAGGAAAATTTTATTTGAGGGCTCAGGATTTTCAGAGGTCCTAGTCTTTAGAAAGCTGGCTCCATTCCTTGGTGCTCAAGGTGAAACAGAACATCATGGCAGAAGAGCATGACAGAGGGAAGCAGCCCACATGATGATCGGAAAGCAGAGAGAGAGACTCCACTCACTAGACACAAATATGAACCTAAAACCATGCCCTCTATGCCCACCTCCTCCAGCCTCACCCTACACTTCAGTTACCATACAGTTCATCCTGATCAGGGGATTAATTCACTGATTGGGTTGAGACTCTCACAATCCAATCTTTTTTCCTTTGAACCTTCTTGCACTGTCTCACACCTGAGCAATCCAAACTATATCCACATCCAAACCATAACAGTGGACCCCAAAACTAGTGGGAGGTCTGCACATTTACTGGAGGTCTAGAAGTGTCACATGGCATACCTCTTTGTCCTGCTATTCTGCTCTTTTCCCTTCCTACGTACATGGGGAGGCAAGGAGAGGAACTGCCACTCTGTGCTTGGTCCTTAGCCATGGAGGTACTCAGACAAGAACCCCTCTAACTTGGGAGGCAACAGGATTCACGAGTAAGGTTTGCCAAACAAGCAGTCTCGACCTGCACAACTGTTGCATTATCCTGTGGCTGTTGGGACAAAGAACCACAGTCTGAGTAGCTTAAAACAACTGAGACTCATTCTCACAGTTTTGGAGGCTGAAAATCTGAGGGCAAGATGTCAGCAGGGCCGTAATCCTTTTGGAGGCTCTAGGAAACAATTCTTCCATGCCTCTTACAGTTTCTGGGGGTTCCAAATGTTCTTTGGCTTGTGGCCATGTTGCTCAGTCTCTGCCTTCATCCTAAATCCAGAAAGATCTCACCTTGAGAGGCTTAATAAGTAGTAGACTCCAAATATGAATCTTAGTGGTTTCAGACTTTTCTCCTGGAACCCTGGGACTTCTATGAGATTGGTGGCACAAACCTAAGCTTCCCAGGGCCCTATGACTGACTAGAGTGTGAAAAGTCTTATCAAGTTATCTCTATGCCCTGAAAAGTACACCCTGGAGTTCTGACTGGTAGGAGGAGCACTGAGGTGAGAGCTCACTCAGGTCCACTCCGGTCCATTCTCATACTTGAGGGTGAAGTTGTTGGGGCCTGAGAGATGAAGTGATGTGGTCCAACTCCAAGTAGACCCTGATGACCCCATTTTACAAAAGGACTAGAGCTGGGTGAATGCAGATCATGCATTCACACCCAGAGCCTCAGGACTGTTCCTGTGGGTGAGAAGCCAGCCCTGTGCCTCAGCCTGGCAAGGGCAGGGCAACAGATGGCCAAGAGGACTTGGGTTGAACAGACAGAGTGGGTCTTCTGGGCCTCAGCTGTATGAACAAATCTTGTGACCAAATAAGGTCAGAGCCACCTGGGTAGGAATAGACAGGAGGAAAATGGGTTGATTTCCAAAACATAGAATAAACATCTTGATTGGATGTGTTTATAGGGACACTAAGGTAAAAGGAAAAATACATTGTCTTCACACTTGTTTAATAAACCAACAGGTGTGAGGTTTCACACACTGAATTAGCAGGTAAAGTGGCTGGTTCCAGAGGGAACTCTCCCCCACTCTGTTGATCTTGGACTTTACTGCTCTTCTTTGTCAACCCCCCTCTTTCCCTGGGTGTCTGTCTCCCGAAGGTAAAGGCCTGGGATTCCCTCCTGTGCCCGACCTGTGTACTCCCAACCTTGGGACCTGTGCCACCCAATGTGTCTCCTCTGAGCCACAGCTCTCTCACTGTTGCCATGGCCACTGCCTGTCCAGGCCCAGGTCTTCTTCCATCTCCTAGCTGGATGGTTTCATCTGCCTCCTGCCTGCCCCTCTCCCCTCCCATAATTCTCCCTCTTCAAGAAGGGCCTGTTTAAAATGCCTGGACCTCGTGTTTCTGGCTGCCCTCAAGTTATGTTCCAGGCCCTGAGCTTGGCATTCAAAGCCCACTATGGTGCGGCTCCTCCCTGTCCCTGGAAGCCTTCTCTACAGCCATACCTGCTTCCCTGGATGCCCTGCCCTCTCCACCCTGCAGCCTCTGTCTCCAGAGAGCTCCTCTCATCCTCTGGCCCAGAGCATTCCCTCTCAGGAATCCTTCCCCAGGACCAGCCTGTGGCTGCACTGGCTGCATTTTTTTTTGTGCTGCCACAACGCCCCCTGCTGACTTTGCCAGAACCTGCAGGGCCAGTGGGTTTGTGTCTGACTAGACCCCAACCCTGCATTTCTCTGGACTGTCCATTCCATGGGGACTGTGTGTGCTTCATGTACTGATGTGCTAATGATATCTAGTCCAGGCCAGGATCAGAAACAGTCTTGAGGATATTTGTAGGGTGGCTAACCTCATAAACACTTGTTTCTGTGGAGGGCCTGCTTCCACCTTCTATGTGGGCCTCAGATGCTCTTGGTCACTACTGCTACCAAAGGAGCCCATGCTTTGGGGTCTGTCAGCTTCCCCTGTCTGCCTCCAGTGCCAGTGGTCAGTGTGTCTCACAGAAAGCCCAAGAGTTTGGTTGCCAGGAGCTGAGTTCTTACTCCAGGGTTCTAAGATTCGTGTCTTGCCTTCAGATGCAGCAGAAGGTCAAGGTAACAACATGCTTTGATTTACTTATGTTCCTTGTGCTTTGTCCTTGGACACCTCATCATTCCTCCCCCTCCCTTGCCTCATCTTGCTTTTTCTCATGCTCCCCACCCCATCCTCTTCCCTGGCACTCACCAACTTGGCTGCAAACACAACCATCTTTAGCTTTCCCTGATATGTGTGTGAGGATGCCACTTGCCAGACCCTCTGTCCCCAGGCCTGTGTGGCTGGGGGTCAGGGATGGGGCAGGATCGGAGAGGACACTGAGATGCCCCCTAGTGGCCATCCCTGAGGAGCAAGTACAGGCAGAAGGCAATCTCCCAGCCCCCACCCTTCAGGGCTGGGCCCTCCCCTGCCTGGCTGTGCATGGGGCTGGCCACCTGTGCCAAAGAGCAATGACTGCATTTTTCAAAGGCTCATCTGGCTTCCATCTTCAGCCCTTGGCCTGGGATGATAGTGTGACTTGTGCCAGTGCTTGGTCAATTGGGTCTATTAGAACCACAATTTTCCTGCAGGGCCTGGGTTACCAAGAGATGAGACAAGGTCTATGGATTCTCCTTTAGCAGCAGCAGGTGTGCTGTCCACTACAAGCCTCTGCTGGACTGAAGAGGATGCTTTGTAGAATCTCTGCATTCCAGTTAGCCAACTAGACTAGAGCAGCTGCCAGTAGGCTCTGGGCCCTTCCAGCTTGGGTGGGGACAGCAGTTATTCCCGCTGCCAGGAGAAGCCATTTGGTTTCTCTGTGCAGGTGCTGCTGGGAAGGCCATGTGTTGGCAGGAGGCTTTGTTGGCATCTCCACAGTGAGCTCCATTCAGCCATCTGCCCCCTCCCTGTGCTGTATCCATCAGTCACTCATGTGGCACTTGGCTCTCTCACCACCTCCCTGGTCACTGGGTCACACATGGGACCTGTGGATGGTGCTGAGCCCTGCTGTCTGGTGCCTCCTCTTCTGAGCAGAGCTGCCCTATAGGGACAGGGTGTCAGCGGCCTTTGATGCATAATATTTCATCTCTGAGGCACTGATGAGTACTCCTGAGCAGTGCAGTTCCAGATGGACAGTTTCAGTTGAGATAAAGGATGTCCAGGTTGTCCAGGACAGGGGTCTGAAGTGGGCAGCTACTGTAATGGAGGACTCAGTCAGGAGTGCTGAATCACAGGGGGCCCCTTTATTTCCATGCCCATCACTAACACGGCCATCTGCCCTTTCCAGAGGGTCTCAATGCAGACTACGTGAAAGGGGAGAACCTGGAAGCCGTTGTATGTGAGGAACCCCAAGGTGAGGACATCTTGGTTACTATTCCTTGCTGAAAGTCTCCTAGTTGGTGGCCCCAGCACTGAGCAAAACTGGGCTAGGGAAGCATAGAATGACCAGCCAGAGTAGAAGGCCACAAATGCCCAGGTGTGCCTGGATCAGCCAGCGTCTTCTGGCTTCAGGAGACTGGCATTGCTGGGATGACAGTCAGAGCATCTGGTGCCATGTCAGCAACTTTTGGGCACTCCTGCTATTCTTGCTCTTGATTGATCTGAGCTGGAGCACCAGGTACCTCTGTTCCCTGTTGGCAGAAAGGGACATGTCCTGGACACATTTAGATAGAGCTGTGGGAAGACTTTTCATCTAGATCTATAGCCTTTTGATTTGAAAATTGCCAAAGGCAGGGCGGGTACATGGGTGAAACCCAGACCTTCTCAGCCTTCCCTTCCTTGCTCAGTGAGCACTTTGGGGCTTCAGGAACTAGCAGCAATTTGAGGCCGCATAAGATCAGGCCACTGGTCTGGAGTGGCCAGCTTCTCCAGGAAGATACAGCCTGTGGCCCAGAATGCCAGTGGAGAGGCCTGGCAAGGCTTCAGGAAGCAGAAGGCAAGCCAGCTTCTTATCAGCTAAGGCTGGGATGGCACAGACAGGGAGACTAGCTGCCCAGTTGTGTTGTGACCAGAGTCACAGGGCAACAGCCATTATGATGGGGCCAAGGAGATCAGGAGGGACTGTTGTGTAAGGGGAACAAGGTTCTCATGTCATCATCAAGGTGTTGCTGTACCAAATAGATGAAAATAGCCCTGGGTCCAAATGTGGAAAAAAAGGATTCTATGAGAGGTAGCATTCACTATCACAAGTTTTAACTTCTAGCCTCCATTGAGTGAGTGAGCACCTGTACCGGCCAAGTGCTGTGTTGAGTGCTTTATTTAAAATAATCAGTAACCCTGTGAGGAGCATTCCAGATTCCAGGTGAGGAAGTGGAGGCTGGGCTCTGCAGAGCCTGGCTGGCTTCCCTTTTCCCCCTTCACCCACCCAGAACATTGTTCCAGGGCCCAAGGCATGTCCGACACAGGGCAGGGAATGGGCCCCAGAGGAAGTGTGTCTGGGACAGGCTTGGGTCAGTTCCTGACCCAACATGCAGGAAGCACAATTCTGTCCCTAGCAGGGCCTTCTGTGCAGGATACAGGTGAGACCACCTAACACATGTCTTCTTTCCCTAGTGAAATACTCAGCACTGCAAACACAGTCTGCAGAGCCCTCACAACCCGAACTGTCCACAATCTGAGGCTCCATTCAGCAGCAGACACACATGAAGGGTGCCACCACCCTTCGGCCCCTCATGTAGATCCCCAGCTGCTGTGCTACGCTTTCCACATTATTGGCTTCTTATTGTTGTGAGTTTTCCTGACAAGCTTTGAGTGTTCGTGAATTTGGTTTCTGTGCCCTGCCTGCAGGGTGGGGTGTCTGCCCTGCCCCAGGTGCTCTGAAGAGACTTGGTACTGAGGCTCAAGACCCAGTTCCAGCAGATTACCAGCATCATCCTCGGAACCTGCTGGGTCACCAGCTCCTCAGGGCCATCCTGTCCCAGCCTCAGCATGGGGAGGGGAAACCAAGATGAGAGCAGGCAAGAGGACACTGGGGACGGTGTGGAAGGAGAGCATTTCTGCTTGGGTGATAAATCGAAAGGTGGTATGATCCCCGTACACACTGGAATGGCTGACTCTGGCAGTGACCTCTGAGAGCTGTAAGTGGCTGGGTCCTGCTAGCACCCGGTTCACTTGGAATCCCTGCACGGGGCAGACAAATCAACACCAAGCAATGCCACACACATGTAATACCCAGGGCAGTGTTTTTCTTTTCCAATCCTGGATTTTACATTGCTGGCCTTTAGAGCTGGCACAAGTGGAGACTTTTCAGTTACTTCAGTGCAAATGTACACCTCATGATAATCCTGCCCTGAGAGTATAAGAATCTGGAGAAGTTGGAAGCTGCGACTTGCAGCCCTAATTCCTACCAGATTCCAGAGGGGACTAAGGGTAGCCTTAGGCTGGCCAGGGTAAAATTCTTAAGAGTCATTTCTGCTTTGGAAATGTTTTCTACTGGGTGATGGATGGTCACCCCACCCTGTATATGAGCTCATTTGAGTAGCAAGAGCTACAGGCATGGAGAACGAGCATTGAAACCAGAACCATGCTCATAGAAGTTGCCTAGAAATGTATGGGAGGGTACAGACCTGTAATCACAGCAGCTCAGGAGGCTGAGGCAGGAGGATCACAAGTTTGAGACCAGCCTCAGCAACTTTGTGAGGCCCTAAACGACCCTATCTCAAAACAAAACAAAACAAAACAGGTTGGGGATGTGGCTCAGTTGTTAAGCATCCCAGTTAAATTCCTGGTACCAAAGTAGAAGAAAGAAAAAGAAATGTATGGAAGGAGGAAAAGGAGCTGCTTCTGCCTGTGTAGCTCTGTAGTTATCCTCCTTGTCGATTCTGATGAAGAGCATTTGGAACATTGATGATATGTTAGACATGAGAACCCAAGGAATGGCCCCTAACCTGGCCCAAGTTGTGTGGTTTGGGCCAGAGCATAGCTGGCTTCGTGGTATTCCTTTAGCCCTTGCCCACAGCAAGCTCTGCTGTTAGAGGCTGAGCTACAGCATAGAGCCCTGTGTGCTGGTTATCAGTTTGCCATGTCAAAAAGCAATTGTTTGCTTCTTTGCCTCATGCTGGGCAATCCTTCTAAGCCACACCTCCAGCCTCCCAGAGAGCAATTCTGAAAGCAGAATATAAGTCACCAGCAGGCAAGATTCTATTTACAAAACTTCAGGGCGTCTTTGGACTGCATGATGGCCCCAGGCAATCCACATGCTGCACATTTGCTCCTTGCTGAGCTGGGATGAGGCATTCCCATTTCTTAAGGAAACCACTGAAATCCAAGCAGACCCCATCCACCATCTAATGCATGCTACTGTGTGTGTCCATTGTTTTAAAAGCCTATTCATGGCAGAGGGGCTTCAGAGGTGGTGCTGTCTCTAGGTGGTCTGGTAAGCCCACTCCCAGTGAATACTTGCAGCCTTCCAGCTGTTCCCTGACCTGTTTGGCCCAGACACACCAGCACTGGGTCTGAAAGGCAGGCTGGAGCACTGAGGACGCAGCAACGTGAAGGAAGGGAAATGTGGCCTCAGGAAGTTTAATTAGTCAGGGAGGCATTGTTTGCAAGATTTGCATGTTTTCAAGACCTTCCACACTGCTGGTGAGAATATCATCAATCGGATTTGTGCCTCCCTGATACCAAGGACATCAAGAGATGATGGCCCCGCAGCCTGGCCATTGCTGAGCTGGAGGTGGCTATGAAGAATTTTTGCATCTTTGGTCTATTGGCACCTAGATAGGGTGACCTCAGGGGTGTTATCCATCTTACTTTTATGGAGAGGCCCATCTGATGGCACAGACGTTGAAACCCTGCAGCCACGATGTAAAATAAATGCTCTTGGTAAAACCATTTTCTCAGTATCACTGACTTCAGTGACAAGAGCCCTATCAGCTCTCCCTTAGCTACCTCGGTGCCTTCTGCGTAAAGCCCTCCTGCATAAAACCCATCACTTGGCCCACAGGCGCTAACTTCAAGTGCCTGGACAGGCCTGGGCGGTCCTTGGCCTCCCATTTGCAGAGAGTATCATTCCAAGGGCTCCTTCTTCCCGCTGGCATTTGACACTTGCTTGGGTACTGTGGCCTGCAGAAGCCTTGGGAACTCCTCTCCTGTCTATATGAAGGCTTCATTAGTCAGTTCAGGTCTGGTCCTAGGTGGTAGGAAAAAGGGAGTGATCTGGAAAGGCCAATTGAGAACACTGATTATCAGCCAAGCTTGGCAGGGAGAACTTATAAAATGTTTAGCATTTATAGTATTAGCTCTGAGTGTATCCAAGTGAGCTCACAGCTCCATGGAAGACTGCTAAGGGAGACAGAAGATAGGGAACTTGGTGGGGAGGAGTGTCCTCATGCTGTGGGGCAGGCCCACTGCCTCAGCCACTTGGATTGGGGTTAGTATCATTTCTCTGAGGAAGAAGTGTTGGAGACCGATCTCAGAATCCTCTGTACATTCTTTTGTATGTGCTGTGTCCAAGTGTGAATTGTAAAATGTCTAGTGTGTGCATTAAACAAAATGGAACGTTGTATTGGGATTGTGTTGAGGTGCTTTTGTCACATGGCTCTCTTTTCCTACAAGAGTTGATATGGAGCTGAGCTCATTCCCTTCATTTCCAGCCATAGGTTTTCTCCAAGTTGAGAGTTCTTGCAGTTACCTCCTCATGAACAGCCTAGTGTCAGGGCTTCTGGGGGTGGCCTCCCATTATACAACAGCTGCAGTATAATATGCCCAATATCCTGGGCTAGGAGGGCAGACGCAGGAGCAGAGCCTCCAGAGGCCACACCCAGGCTTCATGGGCTGCCTGATGCTGCAGCTTGCCAGGTAGCATCAACTCCTCTGGGAGGATAGATGTGGCTGCACTGCCTGGCAGCTTCCCAGCCCACTGCTCTGTCCTCAGAGAAAGCCAGTCACCAGCAAAACTTCTCGTTATATGAGTTGTTTCAGGTAGAGAAAGCTGAGCAAGAAAAGGGGCGTTGTACCTGCCTGTGGAGAGTGGACTGTTGGGGATCAAGTCCCAGCAGACCACCTTGTCAACTCACAGCTTGAATTACAAACTAAGAAGATGGATGGAATTGTCAGCATGAACACGCTGCACAGATCCTGTGCAGTGATTGGAGTTGTTTCACATTGATAGCAGTTTTTTTTTTTTTTTTCATTTTGCTAAACTAGTCTGGTAGTGAAACGGCACCAAATCCTCAAACTCAAACTCACCATGTGACTGCCCTGTGCAGAAGTTCCACATGGCTAGTGGGGACCTGGCACAGTGGCCCTCCTAGCCTTCTGCTCTGGTGTCACTGCTGGGGATAGTTGCCTGGCAATTGGTCCCACTGAGCATCTTCTGCCTAATATTAGGTTCTCTCACTCAGCAGTGCTTCTCAGGACAGTCAGAGATCTCAGGCCCTAATAAGAAGGTTGACCTGTAGGGGGCAGTGTGATTTCACATAGGCCTTTACAGGGCTCCAAAAACGTGAAGTCCCCTAGAATTGGGGAAAGGCAAATTTTAGGTTTTAGCGCTGTACAAGGAGGACCCATTCCTTGACTCTTGGGTATTTCCAGTAGTTTTCCTGCCTTCAGCATTTCCTCAAGTTTATGGGTAAGGGGCATTTCTCATTTTAAAATCAGAGTACTTATCTGTTCCAGCCAAACACTTAAGACTCCTGATGAATTAATTACATGTATGATTTTGTAAGTGAATATTTAGGCACTTTACATATATTATTTGTGGTTGGCATATAGTAAACATTTACTACATGTTACTTTATTATTACTAATTTTCCCCAAGGGAAAAACCTACTAAAACACTTAAAAGAGTGACAACAAAAAGACCAGGGAGCAAACATATTGTAATTTTAATTATAGATTGAAATACAGTGCATCAGATGAGACAAATACAATATTCTACCAGTTTTTAAAAACCTGAACCATAAAGGTTTTACATTCTAGTACACTTAAATAAAACAACAACAAAAAAAGATGCTTAGATAATAAAACTTTACTTCAAGTTGTTTTAGAAACGGTTCTGTTCTAGGAACATACAAAGGGAAATGCTCTGCTGTGCTTTTTTAAAAAAATCAAATGGGAGTTTCGAGGGATCTGGCTGGCAGAGACCACCCAGGTGAGGGAGCATGCAGCTTGGCAGGGGGCAGCTCCCACTCCACCCATACCAGCCAGCTCACCTCACCAAGAATTAGCACTCTTGGCTTCTCTGATTCTGCCAAAAGCATCATCCACTCCACTATAAAAACAGCTCTAGTACGGCTGGGGAATTATATTTTTCCAGGGGAATAAAAATGGGAAATATCTCCATTTTAAAAAAAATCAGTGCATCAATGAATAATAGTTTATAAATCAGCTTTTGGATGTGTTGGGAACATAAATCAAAAGTAAACGTTAATTAAGCTATGATTTAGCAACAAATCCCCCAGATGATAAGAATTGAGAATTTGAGGTTATCAAATTATCTTCAATAAATATTTCTAGTATCTTCTGGAAGAATAATTTTCTGTAAGAATCAGAAGGTTGCAAGTTGAAAAAAAAATCTATTCTCTATATTTGACCATAGAAAACCTTTTTTAGGAATATATTTTAAAAAGTAAGGTCAACATGTAGGACTCTGTGTGGCATTCAGCAACTTGACACCAACCAGAAGAGGGTGCAAAACAGTAGTTCCGAGGCTGACCCTTTAAGCTTCAGAGAGTAATCTTACCTCCTGCTGCAGGTAGGGGTCTGGTGATTTGCAGAAATGGGCACAGCACTTGGTGGAGGGATGCTGGCACCCCACACGAAGGAGCTAAGAGTTGATCATAAATTCATTCTTACAAGGACTCACAGAATCACAGAGCTTAAATTCATTAAGTGAAGGTGCAGAACGATGGAGAGAAGCTTGCCTAACTGAGGCTGGCTCTGAGAAGGAAGAACCAAGGGAAAAGTGTGCTCTGCTCTAGCAAACCTCAGCCATGGCACAGTGGTTGCTTGAAAATATGGACAGGCAGTCTTGTGAATAAACTGATGTGAAAGGGTTGTGATAAAATGACAAATATTATTTTGTCCAGGCAAATCACTGGACAAGAAAGCAGCCTTGCTTTGATACAGATGCCTGGCATCTGTCGAGAGATGGTGGGCTGCAGAAACAGCCCAGAAATTATCAATAGGCGCTGCTCTTGAAGGAGCTGTCTGGGAGGCCAGCACTTAGGCACAGCTGTCTGAGTTCTCAGCATAACCTAATTCTTGCTGTCCTGAGGCACCCATTGCTCCCTGTGAATGGACTGGGCCACCTCAGGAGGCAAGTACAGAGTTTGGTTGAGGTCAATAACACATTGCCATTGAAATGACCACATCCAAAGCTTATTTCAAATGTACCACACCAAAGTCAGCATGAAGTTCATTTGGAAAGAATTTATCACATAGTCCAGTTAAGCAAATCCCCCCTCAGGTGACTATTCTAAACATAAAAAAGGACATAGGAAAATAAAGGCATGTTTCTCTTTTTAAAAAATACCTTATATGTACACAAGAGTAATTGGTGCAGGAAGACCCCTTGCATGAAGGTAACTGTTGACTAGATGGCAATTGTCTATATTCCCCAAAACATTTCATTTAAAAACAGTTTTCAAGTTGTGGCAAAGAGCTGAAAGAAGCCACATGCCTGGCAGTGTGGTCTTTCAAGTGAAGGATGTTTTTTCTATGAAGAGTTTAACTTGGAAAGAAATGGCGTGAGATGTTCTAAGCCTAAGTGCTGCGCTGCATCCACTCAAATTTCCCCCACACTGTCCATAGGAGAGGAAGGTGGTTCACAGGGTGTGTGTGACAGGTGGCTCCCCTGTGAATCCGGCTACACGAGGGTCGCAGGCTGGTCACAAAACAAAAAGCATTTACTGACAGTGGGAGCTGCCACCTAGCCACACAGATGGTCCCTGGGCCTAATCCTAAGAGACAAGATCACAAGTTACAGCCCTAACAGTAATGACCAGGTTCTTGAGCCGCCTGGGAGATGGTGGAGCAGCAAGATGGCCCGAGACACTGGCCTTGCTCATCAGACTGAGGTGTGGACAGGAGTGGCTGAGTGGGAGGGCGAGGAGCCCCGCTCAGACGAGGATGAGACGGCACGTGTGGCCACCTCCCGCTGCAGATCCTCCACCCGCTTCTGCAGCTCAGCCCTGACAGCCAGCAGCTCCTTGAGATTCTGGTGAATTGGCATCTGGTGGTGAGCAGAGACAAAGTCTCATTATTGGGCTGCTCTTACAGTACTGTGTTCCAACATCTAGGCCCTCAGCTTTGTGGTTATTTCCTCACCCAGAATCCTGTGTTACAAGTCTCCTGGACCAGTTACTGATCTTTCCCCCAGTGTACACTGATCCCTTCCCCATAAGCCATGTGCTTCAGCTGCCACCCAGACTACCCTGCATCTACTGGCAATGAGCCAGACTGGACTGGGCACCATTCAGGCCTTTTTGCCCTCTGCTCTCCTTGCTGGGCTCCCAGTTCTCAGGACAAGATTCACAGGCTCTGGTGAGACCGCAGACCTGAGTCTGCCCAGTGCAGACTCAGCCAAGCAGTCTGCTGAAGACTGTCAAACACACATGGTGCTTCCGGGCTGCCCAGCTAAGCCATGTTCACATGCAGACCCTGCTGCCTCCAAGAGCTCTGTATTTGTGCATTTTTATAAATAGTCCCCCTGACTGAAAAATACATTTGTTAAATCAGCACTTTCTACTACTTGGAGCTGTGTTTATTTGCAATGAAGTAGAGCATAAGGCCCCAGAGGGGTGATGCCATGGGAAAGGGACTAGCCTCTCACTCAATTATTCAGTACTTCTGCTCAAGTGCTTCACCCCAGTTATCTTTCTTTCAAACCCACAGATTGAGATGGGACAATAAAGAAACTAGAAGGTCACGCTATTTTATAGTCATAGCATCTAGCTCTCCAAACTACCAAGATAGCCTCAGCACCTACTAGAAGCCCAGAGATCAAAGACCTGGACTTTCACAGGCTGTGAGCAAAGTTGACTAGGCAGGGAGGTCACTAGGGAAGTGAAGAGGCACAGGGCGGGGTCTGGATCCTTTTCTCCTCCCAAACCCACTGTGCACACACAGCTACTAGGTGGATTCCAAGCCTCAAGCAGACCTCATGACATACCATGTTATTATCCTCTAGTGGCTTCTTCCCCTTGCCCTGAGAGTAACACCCTGAACTTGACCTCCAGGCACTAGCCTGCTTCTCTAGCTCATCACTCACCAGGTCAAAGACTTGAAGCTGCACCATCATGGTGCCCTGGTGATCAGCCCTTCTGGTAGGTGGGGGGAAGAACAAGAGAAGGAAGAGGAGTAAAGATAGGGCATTTGCATGCTTCCAACATCACAGGGTGCTCAGTAACCAGCACCAATGAGGCTAAGAACACTCTCCTTTGTCAGACCATGGGAAGAAGGAGGCAGGGGACAGCAACATCAGGGTCTTATAGCAAAGGCTGATCCTTAAAGGACACTAACAATGACAATAGTTCTCTTAACCTTAGGATCTCTCTGGGATTTTGCTCATCTGTGGGATTGTTTGATTCCAATCAGATGAGGGAATGCTTTGCAATCAACCACCATTATTAACACACACATGAGCTTCCTGGAGCAGAGCACGCAGGGGAACAGTCTCCTGCACACCCAGGAAATGAGACCCGGGCTGCCCAAGTGTGCCACCATCACCTTATGTCCTCAGGGAGCTTTTTGTAATTTTCTCATGTATCAGTTTATTTGCTACTAAGCAAGGGGGTGCCTGAAAAACAGATAACTCTGAGGCTTAAATGCAGGACTGCGTTAGAGAAACTTACCAGAGAAAGGCTAGCTATGTCTGACCCAGGTGTGCTAGCATGTGTGAGGCATAAGCCAAGGCCCAAAGGAGGAGGATGCCCACTGGCTCTTGGCCCCACTCAGCCATCCTCTAATAGGTTTTAAGAGGGAGCCCCTCTCACAGAAGTGAACCTTGCCATCTCCTTCTCAGAGCAAAGAGACCCAGTAGGCTTGTGTCCCCTGCCTTTCCTCCTATATCCTTCCTCCTCTCAGCCCCACATGACTCTGTTCCACTCACCACACACCTATGGCAACCTGCCTCATGGCCTTCTGCTTCCCATCCACCACAGTGCAGCCAGAGGGAGGAAGCTTTCCCCATCATACACCTGGCCTTGTACAAATGCCCACCTGCCTCCCTAGCATGGTATATCACCAGTGTCCCAAAAGGCCATGTGCCCAGCATGTTGTGTTTGTGGCCTTTAGTATAAAAGCTGTAGCCATGGAGATACAGCATAGGGAGAACACACACAAAAAACCGGACACCCACCTTCTACACCACCCCCCAGCACTGTGGCAGGTACTTGGCATAGATTTGTATCACGCTTGCACCTTGCCGTGAGGCTCAGGGCCTTGCTCCAGATCAGGACTGAGTTACTGCCAGAGACCCAATTTGGCCCTGGTGAGGGATATCCTTCCACAACTGCACACAAGTTGGCAAGTCCTGGATGAATTATGGCTTTTCAGACCCTTCCCTTCACCCTCTGCACTGTGGGACTGACATGAAGTCACAGGCACAGTGCCCAGTGGCACATTAAAGGACCTCAAGATAGGCAGCTATAGCCATGTTCCCTTGATCATCATCACGCTGAAACTGAACGCTCTTCCATGAGGGAGGAAACATCAAGAATAGATCTCTTACAAAAGATTTGCTCCCTGCCCTCACTTGTTTCTAATGGAGAATGAGCATAACAGGGTGTGTGGCTGGGCCTGTGGCACCGGCAGAAGGAGCTAGCACAGTGCTTCAAGGGGATGCTGCTTACATTTCAAGTCTATGACCTGCTAAGCCCTGCAGTAACTGAGAAACCCCTCTAACCAAAAGAGCACCAAACAGTTGGTCCCTGGAATCACTAAACAGACTATTTAGTGGCTCTCTCTACATAATTAAAACAAAGGTGTGACTTTCCCACTCTACAGCTGCCCAGCAAAGAAGAATTCAGCCAAGTGCCTGTGACAGCAAAACACACAAAGGAGGAAGCTGCTGGAAGCGGGTGAAGGCTGGGTCTCCTAGGTACAGCAGCAAAGGCAGGCAGAGTAGATCTGGAGCCTGGACTCCAGTGAAAGGATGGCAGTTCACCCTGCACTTCCACACCTGCAGAGCTTTGAGGTGCCACTTGTGCTACTTGGAGCTACCAGCCCCAGCCAGGGAAGAGGAGAGGGAACAACAGAGGTGAAGGCAACAGGGAGTGTAGGGCCTAGCTCAGAGAACTATGTAAGTGCTATGATCAGTGAACACTGAAAAATGCTCCTGCAGTTATAAGGCAGCAGGGCCAACTCACAGGATCTAGAGGAGGAAAGGGCTTTTGCAGCTGAAGCCTCATGGAACAAATGGAGTGAAACAGTGAAGCATCAGGGAAACATGCAGCAAGTGTGACTGGTGTGGGCTGCGGCATCAGAGCAGAGGATCCAAGGAGGAGATGGGTCACAGCTGCCTGGGGCAGCAGAGTGTACACGTCAGACTGAACCCACAGCTGAGGCTCCACGTAAGTGCACTGTTAACCCCAGGAGTTAGGAAAGGGACGGTGCCCTCTGGAGTTCCAGTGCCAGACAGCTGAAAGTAAAATGAACAACTGGACCTTGCCCCTGTCTGTGAGGCTTGGGGCTAAGATGGAGCATGTGAGGACACCATGAGAGGGACAGATGGTTGAGGAGGAATGCAGAGAGAGCAGGCAGGCTTCATCACTGGCTGATGGGGGAAAACAGTGGTGTGAACAATGGCTGGGCAGCATACTCCTGGTGAGTGTCTGCTAAGCCTTGGATGTGTTATCTTAAGAATAAACCTCAGCAGAAAGCTCTCTGTCCACAGAGGTGAGGGCTGTCTCCTTCCCTCCTTTTCCACATCCAGACCCCACCAGGCCTGGCCACCCATGTACAGAAAATTGGGGGTGGGGAGCAGGGATGAGTCAAAACCCATGGCAAAGCCCCCAAACTGGGGGAGCATTCAGAATAGGTCACGGGAGGCTTCGCTCACAGCCAGAGCTCAGCCACCGAAGAACACAAAGTACAGGCACAGGCTTGGCTGACTGGCCCTGTCTATGTATTGTTCTCTCAGTTTTTACCATCTCAGAAAGTATTACTGTGAAACAGTCTAGGATGGTAAGGCAAACATTACCCCTTCCTGGAGGGGAGGCAGTTCTGTGCCTCAGCCCATGCCTTCTTTCTATTGTGCTACTACAGCCTTTCCACCAACTCCACACATACATTACTAGAGTAGGTACTACTCCACCCATAAGACTTCCGAGCAACTTATAAGACTTAGAGCCAAACACAGACAGGATTCTCTCCATACCTTCCTCAGTAGAGGACAGAGGGCAGGAAGGAGGAGGTTTTCAACTCTAACAGCTTGGGGTTGGCCTAGAGGAACATGAATGCAAAGAACTACAGTACGTTAGCACCCACCATGCACACATTTTATAACATCATCTTCACCAGGAAAGAGACGTGTTCCTATGAGGAGAATAAAAACAAAAAGGTACCTGTGGTCTCATTCGTGGATTCCATCGTACATAATAGTTCACCCATAATTCCAAATGACTCAGACTAGCAACAGGATATAACACATGGTTTTCATAATTCACAAAGAAGGGATTAGAAAATTCATCTAGCTGGCTATTGATATAAGACCATAAAGATATAGTCTTTGTATATATATCCTGAAAAACAAAAAAGGAATAACTGAAATAAGCTTTTCTTCATATTCCAAGAATGAGTATTACATAAAGAAAATGACTGGAATAATGAAGAGAACTCAAAGAGTTACTAGGCCCCATCCCCATCCTCCCACCAAGTCTGGCCTCATGCTGGGGACAACATGGGAACATGCACTGCTTGCTGTCCTGGAAAAACATATTGCTGATATTAGGCAACATCCAGTATGTGTGTCTGTGGGGAGGCGGAATGAGAACTTTCTAACATCCACAAGATGATAGGACTCATCAATAATAAATACATTTTTTTATTCTGGTTTAACGTTTGCTTTTGTGACTGTTCATGTTGACAAACGTAGGTAGAATTTACAGTTAAGATCCCTTGCAATGGAAAAACCATACGTATCTGCAGAATACTGTGCCATGACGGCAGACTGGAAAAGCTGCCTATAGAGAAGTATGCATATCTTCCCCTCAATTTTATTTATTTATTTATTTTATTTTTAAAAAATTTTATTTTATTTATTTATTTTTATTTTTTTATTGGTTATTCTCTTCCCCTCAATTTTACATTACACTATTTAGAAATGATTAACAATTTGCATTGCTCATCTGAATGAAAACACCCAAATTTGTAGGGATGGGGACAAGACAGATAAGCATTAAACAATGGATCAAACAGTGAAAAATTCAAATGAAGAAAATAGGTCAAGAAAATGTTCTACCAACCTAGATGCCCTTCAATAGACGAATGGATAAAAAAAATAATGTGGCATTTATACACAATGGAGTATTACTCTGCATTAAAAAATGACAAAATCATAGAATTTGGAGGGAAATGGATGGCATTAGA